GAATTAATCAGAATCCTTTCGTACATTTTTTCGATACTAAATCCAATCGACAGATTTTAATAATAAAGGAAAGTGAAATACCAATTATTCGCATAAAATTTGACTATATTATATTTTCATCATGAATACCCATGAGCAAAATTACGGATACGAATGAAAATCGAAATACAAAAATAATCAAAACTGCAGCTAATATATTTACATTTGAACTAAATTGTTTAATTATTCAAACTGCGTTTTCAAATCGTTCCAATCTACTAAGAATTCCTATCTTCCCGAAAAATATGTAGAACCATTCGCCTTATTTAGAGCGAGTAGATGGAACTACGTATAGAGCGACGCAATTATCGTTCCGATTATCCAGGTGTTGCTACATGGGTTTATCTATGAAAACTAAAACAATGGGTTCCACAGAATTATTATATCGTTTACGTTTCTAATGATTACTCGATTTCTAGCGAAAACTGCATAGACAAATCTGTTGTAATTGCCGAAGTCTGCACATCGACCCCAACTGCGCAACTGTGAAATATTTTTGTTCCTTACAAACCGGTCAAACATGACATAATCTACTATTTTATTTAATATTTAAAAGATTGTATTTTGATCGCGCGATTCCATTAAAATCGTAAAGAAAGTTTATCAAAGAAAAAAACAACCTGAGAAACATCGAAGACTGTCTCCCAAACACGAGTCGATGTAAACACAAAAAATGTCCAAATATTTTAACGCATAAATGAAAATCATGAATCCGATTGTTTCATTCGCAAACATCGCGACTTCGGAAAGCTGTGAACTCCTGAAAGTTGTGCATCCGCTCAGCAAACATACAATCTCTAATTAAGGTTATGAAGTACGTAATCCCCCCCCCCCCCAATTAACTGGAGCATTGACTTTCAGCGTGAATATGTAAAACGCTTTTATCTTTTTAGCCGAGCCGCAGCTAATGTCATTATATCATTTCTGGTTGCGGATGCGCAACGTCATTAACCTCCTCATTATCGCAGCATTTCCAAGAAACGCTCGGCGAATCGATCAATTAACGTCGCGAATGTATCACCGCTACTGCGACAGACGCATAATATTTCGAATAAAAGCATCCGTCGTAAAAGCTCGCGCTTCTGACGTCGCGAGGAAATTCCCCGGCAGACCAGCCCTCCAATATTTAGAAACAAGCCTACCAAAGGCTCGCCGAGAGAGTAATCTGTCTCGAGCATTGTTGGTCGCGAACATTTCACCGCAAAATCACGTAACCGCTACAATCAACGCGCCACTGCAGTTTCAGCGTTGGCACATATAAGGTGCAGCTATATTTTCGCATTCCTTCCTTATTCTTCGACTCGCTGTGCAACAAAACTAACGCCAGCGATCCGCGGGTTCGAGAGCAAACCCATTTTACACAGCGTTGCAGGTCGCATTTACAGATTGTTACTATCGCCTGAAACCGTGCCTTTCGCCAGCTGCGAAATGGGTCGAGCCGTGTTTTGGCATTAGCCGCGGTAGATATCGAATTTTGATAAACCACGCTGCAGCCAATACTTCCTGCCTCGTCTATATCAACCACGATAACCGGAGAGCGTTCGATAAACCGCCTTTCTCTCGCAGCTTCCAGGCGCTGGAACACGTATCACGTTTGATAAATGTCAAACGTGGAACAAGTCGCGTTCAGAAATTCTGGGCCGACCGCGTTCCCCCGATTTCTCCTGCTTAAGGACCGAACAAATTCCGCGAGATCTTTCGCTCGGGCACATTGCCGCCTGGTCGAATCCGCCGGGAATCTACAGCTGTTTAACAGCGACATCGCGAATCCGCATCGCTCCGACGAACCGCGGATTCGCTGCGTAACGAGGGATACGAAAGAAGGGTTACTCACATCGATCAGGTGAGCCGATCGGTGGCAGGTATCGCCGGGAAACGTACCATCGGATCGCACGTACAACAACCGCGTTATATCAACCGATCACACACTTTCACCGCGTCGTCGGTGTCTCTGATCCGTCAGCCCAGCAGCTCGTTCGGTCGGTCCACCGAGAACCACCATCAACCGAGGTAACGAATGACACGGATCACCGGTTTACAGAGTCATCCGGATGACGATTTCGGCACGCGTGGTCCACGCAAATTGATTCTGTCACGGCGGAAGATCTCGCACTCTCGAATCCAGCACGTCCCGTATCTCGTCTCACCTCGACAATCGATAAATGTCGCCCCTCTGCCCCCCCCCTCCCTCCCTCTTTCTCTCTGTCTCTGTCTCTCCCTCGCTCTTTCTCTCTCTTCCTCCCTCAGTGTTTCATCCCCGTCCGTCCGTCCGTTCTTTTTTCTCGGTCGATCTGGTGCTCTCGGGGCCGCCTTTGTCGACGGGAGGAGCCGTCGAAGGAGTCGGGACCGATGATCCCTCGCCGGGGAGTTTCCGTTTCAGTCGGGAAATCTCGAATGCCCGAGGTGTCGGAAGCAACAGTAACGGTAGCGGCACGGCTCGCACAGGCACCAGCGCGTCTCTTCGCGCGTATACGCGTGGACCGAGCGCGGCGGGTGGTTCAGCAACCACCGATCGATGATACGTTCATCAGGATTCACCTTGGGCGCATATTCGAGCCTCGGCTGCGAGACTCCGCTCCGTGCCGGTCTGCTCGTGGGGCTCGTTCGCCGAGTTAGCTCGGCTGGTTCGCCAACGATGGCGTCGCAGCATCCGCTATCCAGCATCCACTATTCAGCATCCGGCATTCGCGGTTCCTCGGAAACGTGTCGCGGGTGTATTTCGAGAACAACGAAAAATGCTCGGCGCGACGGGGCCGCGGGAGAGACGAAGGGGACAATGAGAGAGAAACAGAGAGAGAGAGAGAGATCAAATTCTAGGGAGAGAGTGGGACAAAACAGGAAGGAAAAGAAACGGGGTGGAAAGAGAGCGAGATAAGTGGTCGCGGATGAAATGGGAGAAAGAGAGGACGGAAGAATGTGATTTAACAGGAGAGGAGGAGATGAAAATGGCGCAAGGGGAAGACGGGAAATGAAGCGGTAAGGGAGACGACTGATTACGCGGGGGGGAGGGAAGATCGAGAAGAGTGTACGGGAGATGAACGTAGATGAGGATGAAGGGTGGTAGAGAGGATGCTGCGAGCCGCCTCGAAGGTGGGGAGCGGAAAGACGAAGTAAAGGGATACGAGAGAGCATGCTCTTATTGACGAAGGGCAGGGACTCCGCCCCTAGCGAGAGTTTAACTCACGACTGCGCCTATTTTCTTCTGAAACGGACCACCCGTGCCAACCGCGGTCCCCGGGATTCTTTCTTAGATTTCTCTAGCTGAAGCGAATCACGCTGTTACCGGTTGCGCCGCGTTTCCACGTGTCGATCACCTTATCTCCGCTAAACCTACCGAGCCCTAAAAGTAACCGACGTCTATTGCTTCATATGAAAGACTGTATTTATTTAGAGGGATGATGGCATGGTGTTGATATAAGGTGGAGTTTTTATAAGGAGAAAATTTGCAATTTTCAAAGGAAATGTTCTTAACATTGGTTTATTGTAGTAAAGATTGCACGAAATCTAAATAAATTCGGTCTTGTTATTTTTATAAGACGAAAAATTCTAAGAATATACATTTTATATATATTTTATGTACATTTTTGTCACAAATCATTTTTGTGCGAAACGTCGGACTATCTAAAAATAATTCAAATATAGTAGGAGAATTAAATTGAATATTGAGTCTATTTGAGAAAACCCGTATCTCTTTAAAAAATACACTTTCAGTATCTTTACAGATATTTAAGTTTGTTTTTAAGTTATTTTTTATCTTACAACCGGTTTCTTTCCAGTATTGACCTAGGGCAATGCAGTAAAATATGGTTGTACAATTTGACGTACGTTTATACATATAATCTGCAAAGAACAG